GTTCATTTATGTTGTTTCACATTATTATTTACTTGACAGGTTGATCCTATCAGTGTGGCCTATAAAACTCTTGGAGACCCTCTATGGGTTGAGTTGCAGCAAATTTTTGGAGAGGTGAACAGTGAAACAGTCCACCCGAATGTGCAAAGTGCTGGCAGTGGCGGTTCGACTGTGGAGGTTGATGTCGATAGCCTCAAAGGAAAGCATCGACCCACTTGAGTTAAAATAATTTGCTTGGCTCACATTTCTTAGATCTTCAAAGATTATGAAATAATGATGTATTTGAACTGTAGTTCATGAATGTTTAATTAGAATGGTTACTATGGAATGTTAGTTGTCTTTAGAATTGTTATGTTGGATTATGTAAGCTGACAATGTGATTATTGATGCTTATAAGTTAAGTAGAGGGTTATGGTAATTCAAAGGGTGCTTATAAGTTAATTTTAGTATCGATTGTATCTACACAGACAACTGTTTTCAATCTCATTGATATGGCCATTGGACTAATGTACAATGAATGACTCACAAACACATGGAAATGGGTTGTAAGATTCAGCTTTTGTTTAACGGTTAATTTGTTGGAATAACGGACATGTATACCATTAACACCAATTGTTGTACGTTGACATAAACCAATAATGACAAAAGTAACAAATAACGATAACGAAGTCCAAGTTTTCCATCATCATCCTCAAAGGCTAAACAAATCGAAAGCAAAAATCGCAAGATCAACAAGTTTATAACACATCATCCTCGACAAATAAACAACATCATCCCCAAGCTACCACAACATCCACTAGTGTTAGACATCAACTACATGTTAACTTTGAATATACAAATTGAAGCACACCAAACTTTACATTAAACTAAACAACGTACCAAACGTGCACGATCCACATAATTTCGTTTTATTTTGATACTAAACGTGTACTTTGGAAGTTTCTAATACCCGTTTTATTTCTCCAAACAAATGCTTTTTTAAACGTTACGACTTGTCCACACACAACACAAATGTTGCAAACAACATTTGTGTTGAAAAAAATGAAAAACAAACGGTAGAACATGGTTTAACAATTGCCCGTTCATTACTTGAGGTACACAAAAAATCTGAGAAATCAACTTAGGATATCCATGTCTCAGTAAGAGCAGAAATCCACAAATAAGCCTTCATTTCGACAAATCATGTTTCATGAAATGTATTAGATTCTACAAAGGAAAGGTTTTTGTCCACAAGACCAAATTTGGTTTGGAGAATATATTATACACAACCCACTCACGCCTCAATCAATCATCAGAACCTATTTTTAAGGAATCAGAATATATTCCCCTGTATTTAGCCACTTTGAGAAATATGGAATATATTCCCAATCTCTCCAACATGATTTATCATAGATCCTTTGTCATATATGAGTCCAAGGCTTTGTCACGTGAGAAAACGCTACTCAAACATCCATCTATAAAGGGAGAAGGAGGATGTGTTGTGTGGAATAAGCAACATAGCAGCAATCCCTTCTAAATAATCAATGGCTCCTAACGGGAAACGAAATCCTTCTATTTCTCAGAAAAAAGTCTTCTACAATGGTGAATGGACGAGAGAAGTTGAAAAAAGGTTCGTGAAGGAGTTGGTCGACCAAGCTGAAGCGGGCCATTTTGAGGTGGGCAATCCAAATAATCATGCGACTCTTATGGCAATGAGCGTTGTCAATGAGGTGTACGGTAAGAGCTTCGATTTGGAATTTTGTCGCGGAAAAGTTCGTAAGCTCCACAAGCGCTATCAAGTGTTCAAATGGATAACCCAACAAAGTGGCGTGATATATACAGCCAATGGTCATAAGGTGCAAGCAACCGAGAAAACATGGGAACACATCATTCTTGTAAGTCATTTATATTTTAGCTTGACAATTGCAATTTAAACACATTCCACTGATTCTACGTGTTTAACTAATTTATGTTTTCTGCAGCATGAGAAGCTCGCAATGGCCTACATTAACGAAGGTGAATCCTCTTTCGACGAACTAAAAAGGTTGTTCGGGAATGGTGTAGACTCCGACAACGACCAGGAGCCACACGAGGTCATTGTTATTTCGGACGACGACAACGATGTTGATGGAGACGGTGAGGACGTTGCTGTTGGAGGAGAAGATGGTAGTGTTGGTAACCCTCATATGCCTCTTGAGAATGATTCCGATAACACAAATAACTGTTTCCATTACGATCTTGCTTGGTATAGTTCTGATACCACTAGTTTGTCATCCCTCCCTAATAAGGATAATCCATCAGGCAAATTAACTTCTACCTCAGAGGTATTCAGTAAGTTCCAGAGGCATTGGGCAGGCCACGATTGGGAAAACGACGAGGACGAACGTGACGAAATCCCAAATAGTTCAACTGCCTCGTCGTCGCCTTTCAAGAAGTACTGA